ATGCTCATGATCTAGCACCTTCAGGATTATATATTTTATAAATAGTAATGTTAAACTAAAAATCATTTAACATTACATACTAATTCTATTAAAAATCAACAGTTGTTCAATTTAAATTAAAAGCATAATGAATTTCATGTTAGCTTAATATTAATTAAACTATTATTTTTTAATAATGTCCATTACAGTTGAAATAGTTAAGTTAAAGAATTTGATTTTAACAAATATAATTAATAAATATTTTAAAGTTTGAAAAAAAAAAATTGTTTGCTTTTACTATCTAAATAAATTTCAAAAACCTCCTCTGTGTATTTTGGTTTGGGTATGTTATTTTGAAAGCAAATATTCCTTTGTATTGTAAGCTTTGGGGTGTTGAAAGATTCTAGTTTAGGACATATGCACAGGAATTACTACATCTTAATTTAAAAATTATTAGTTGATTAATAATTTATTTATAACAATATAAATTGATTATGAGTTATATTTTTTAAATATTAATAACATTTCATTTTTACAATAACATTTTTACCGACTTCTTTTCGTTTTCTAGATTATAATTTGATTTATGAATGATTCTTACTCTAATGAAATGATATGTCCATCATCATCGTGATTCGTGGGTGCTGGGAAAATGAATGAAGAAATCTTTATTTCAGAAAAATGAGGATCGCTAACGAATAAATCTTCGATTTTTCTGATGCACCAAAAAATGGCAATATCCATTTAACGATTAAATACGGTTATATAAACCTTATAAAATAAATTAACCTAAAACTTTACTGAATGTTGAAAACGAAATAAATTTCAACAAACGAGCTGTTTATTATTGTTTATTATTATTACTATTTTAATGTATGGTGCCGACGAAATAGTTTACGGTCCGACTGTAAAGAATGTTTATAAAGATTTCGTTTGATTTACTTAATTTTATTTCAAAAAAATATAACAACTTTTTCTCAATATTTTAAAACTTTAATATTTTAAAAATTAAACTAAAGTTTGAAAAAGGGATTTTGTTTCTCAAAGCTCTCAAAAATTGTTAGACACAAATATTTATACATTGTTTGAAAGCAATTAATATAAGCATATATGTAAAATATGTAAAATTTATAATGTTAAAAACCAATTAATATATGCATACATACACATATATATACACATATTTACACACCCATACATATACTATACATACTTACATTTATAAACACACATACTCAGGCCCGGTTCCAGACATTTGGCGGCCCTAGGCAGAGCTACATCTATGGTGTTGGCTACTCTACCGATATATGATATATGATATATCAATGTCAGTGACTTGGAGGAAAAACTTATTTTTGTTTTTTTGTTTTTGTTTTTTTTCTAGTTTTTTTATATACGTATTGATATTACATAATATATAATATTATTTTTGAACCTATATTTTATCCACCCATATTTTACCTAGTTTATTGGATAGGTTCTTACAATTTTTATAAAAAATATTTTTCCATATTTTAAAAATAGAATTCAAATTATTAAATACTTTAGATTTTAGAACTTTGAATTGAATTAAAAATTGTATGTCAAATTTTATTATTAATGCCATTTTCTGAGAACTGCCCAACATAAAAGTAAAAAGTAATTATAGTAGCTACTAGCTAGTAAAATATAATTATTCAGTTTCAGTGCACCGAATGATCATCTGAATAAATTACAATATTCATTTTTGCTTTATTTGAATTTGACTTTTCTGGCTTTCATGTTTGCAAAATCGTCAATTAATGCTGAATAGTCGAGTTCAGAAGCAATATCATTTTCGATAGAAATTTGTGCTAATCCAACAAGTCTATTTTGTGTCATTGTTGAACGTAAGTATGTCTTGATTAGTTTTAATTTGGATAAACTGCGTTCGGCTGATGCCACCGTTATAGGTACTGTTAATAAAATTCGCAAAGCAGTCGTAACATTTGGAAACACGTCTTGAAAAATATTTATAAAACGACGTTGTTTCATTTTTTTTTAAATTTCCATAAATATTTTTTGATGCTTATTTAAGTTATTTTGCAAAATTGGCGGCCCCTAAAATCGGCGGCCCTAGGCAGCTGCCTAGTTTGCCTAATGGAAGAACCGGGCCTGCACATACTCCCATACACACACCTACTCACCTAAACACACACACATAATCACACACTCCCCAATATATATGTAAGCATTACATATAAACAGTACTTAAACAATCATATACATATAAAGGAAATTGAAGAACAATACTTGAAAGATGAAATGAAAAAAATTTTTGACCTGAATAATTGTAAATAAAAGAAAATCAGTCACAGTATGGAATAGTAATAGCAATATTAATGTATAAAAACGTAAAGAGGTTTGAAAAAAAAAACATTAAAATTGAATTCAATGTTAATCATAGTATGATTAAAAAGCAAATAAATTATAATAAAACCAAGAAAATTAAGAATAAAATAAACTATAAAAAAGTTGCAGGATTAATTTTGTAATTATATAAAATTAATCACAGAACAATAAAAAATATTGGATAAATAAACTTTATTAATCATTATTATTAAAATCACCATTGTTTTATCTTCATCACAACCATAATTCTTCTTCTTCAATTCACGCGACCTCAAAACAAATGAAACAAATTTTGAGTTCAATACCGCATGTTATAAAAGTTTCACTATAATTAATATTTGTTGCCGATCAATATACATCAGGGTATTTACAAATTTTGTCAACAATTTTTTTTTACACAAAAATAAATCCTTGTAAACTCCATACAATTATTATATATTATTATTATAATTTATAATTGTTATTATAATTTATAAGTCAAAATGATAAATAGAAAAATTACCATTCTGATACATGCGTCGATGTAATGAAATAAAGCTCATCTCATTCGTAACAACTATTTTAACTCATTCAAACCTTTCAAACGTTAATTTTTTCGGTCCGTAATTTTATTGTTTAACATATTCAACATGAAATCCTCATCAACAATTAACTTTTGCAACATATGTCGATATTTTATATCTTCTTCATCCATTCCAATCAGTAGATTAACATTCGGTTGGAAAAAGCAAGGCATATTACGATTCCTTAGACATTTCACTAATTCCTGCAACAAATCTATCAAGCTCAATCCTAAATATTTTTTTGAAGTGAACTCATCGTTTGATAAATTTTGACTTACATTTATAAAAGTATTTATAAAATGATGAGATGATAAACAACGTGAAAATGGTGGTTTGCAATAATATCTAATACACATGAAAACTCTTAGAATTTTTTCACGGTTCAGGTCTTCAGAGCTGAACTTTGAAATTTCTCTATTTTCTTCAATTCTGATAGACCTTCTCCACGAATGAAGATCTTTACTCAGGATGAACGGTTGCCCAAATTTATCATAGCAATTACATTCGTAATATTCTTCATTGATTACTTTCAATGTAGGAAAAATTCTTATTGAGAATATGGAAGCTGAATCATCCCCCTCATTCTGAAATTGAAATTTCATTGTTTATCTGTCTGAATTTTGAATGTTAATTGATATTATGAAAAAGATCCATGTTACCGTCATCAAAGCACAAGTTCAAGCACCACTAGGCACCTTCAATCTAATCACCAATCCCATCACAACAATCTAAGCAACTTCAATCCGACTACCAATCCAATCATCAATACAATCACCAACCAAATCACCGATCAAATCACCAATAGACAGTTTGCACGTCATTAACCTAATTTCACTATTTCTTCAAAATTTTATTTCTTCGTTGATATACTAATTGGTCTATAATTGTTAACATTATTATGTGAGTTAGATTTATGAATTGGAACCAACCTAGCAGTCCTAAAGACAATCTGGAAAAGTTCCGGTCGAGAGTGATAAATTAAATAATGTACATGACAAATTGAATTATTTATATATTTTAAGATTTTTTAAGATTCGAAAACTTATAGTGGTCCAAACTAGATGAGTTGGATAAAGATTTCACATTGTTGAATATTTCATCTAGACAGGCTGGCATTTAATAGTTGGAAGAGATCTTTTGACTGTTTGGTGCAACCCTCACAGTTATAACCACAGTTAAATGTCGAATATGACCTTGTGTTAAATAATCATTTAAAACATTATTTAGCTGCCATGAGGTGACAAATGATCGCTAAAAATAATTAAATCAATGAAAATAATATTTAGAACCTAACGTGATAAAATTTTGATATCGTCGCGACAATTATTTGGCAAATTTGTTTCTGAAACTTAAACAACATAATTGCAATTTGTGAAATAACGTTATAAATATTATGACAAAATGAAATGTTTGAAATAATTTAACGTCAGTAATAGAACGATTGACAAAATAAAATGTTTAGTTGAAAAAATTCACATCTCATATAAAATTATTTTTAACTTCATTATAAATTGTTAAGCAATGTAAAAAATGTACAGTGTCTGATTGAAAATCCTAGCGACTAAAAAGACTAATAAATAAAACACCACGAACTAAGGAGGTGATTTGTGCGGGCTTTATAAGAAACTGCGATAACTATCTCGCTTACTGCTCTTCTGGTTCGGTGTTCTCATCATTAAACGCAACCGCAACAACAGAACTTCTGAAAAATACACTTTTACTAACGTTTCACAAACAAGCTAATCACTACATTTCGCTATTTATATGAAATATTTAACTATTCTGACTCTAACCATAACAAACAGCTTGGTGGTTTAAATATCCTACAAATGAACAGTGAAAATAATACTCTATCGAATTAATAAAAAATAATATAGACGTCAATAATGGGTCCAACAAAGAGAAAAAATGCCAGGATTCAATTAAATATTTTTTTTATTTTTCATTAATTCAAAACTACAATTTTGAAACATTTTGATCATTCCCGCGCGCGGTTATAACATTACACCAACTTTAGCCTGTTAATCCCCAACATAGGCGTAACTTACATGGTAACTTTTCATAAATTCATCAAATGCGAATCACACGTCAACCCGCATTTGCTATCAGTGAAGTAGCCAGAAATTTAATGTAGGTACGGAGAAGGGGGCTGTACCTTGGAAAAAATAGTGACCACTTTCTTGGATTTTTAAACAACTGTTAAAAAATTTTTAATGATAACCAATGTTTTTGTCCAAATGATAACAAAATTTTGCTAAATCCGCATGTTATAAAAGTTTCACTATAATTAATATTTGTTGCCGATCAATATACATCAGGGTATTCACAAATTTTGTCAACAATTTTTTATTTACACAAAAATAAATCCTTGTAAACTCCATACAATTATTATATATTATTATTATAATTTATAATTGTTATTATAATTTATAAGTCAAAATGATAAATAGAAAAATTACCATTCTGATACATGCGTCGATATAATGAAATAAAGCTCATCTCATTCGTAACAACTATTTTAACTCATTCAAACCTTTCAAACGTTTATTTTTTCGGTCCGTAATTTTATTGTTTAACATATTCAACATGAATTCCTCATCATCAATTAACTTTTGCAACATATGTCGATATTTTATAATAACTTCTTCATCCATTCCAATCAGTAGATTAACATTCGGTTGGAAAAAGCAAGGCATATTACGATTCCTTAGACATTTCACTAATTCCTGCAACAAATCTATCAAGCTCAATCCTAAATATTTTTTTGAAGTGAACTCATCGTTTGAAAAATTTTGACTTACATTTATGAAAGTATTTATGAAATGATGAGATGATAAACAACGTGAAAATGGTGGTTTGCAATATCTAATACACATGAAAACTCTTAGAATTTTTTCACGGTTCAGGTCTTCAGAGCTGAACTTTGAAATTTCTCTATTTTCTTCAATTCTGATAGACCTTCTCCACGAATGAAAATCTTTACTCAGGATGAACGGTTGCCCAAATTTATCATAGCAATTACATTCATAATATTCTTCATTGATTACTTTCAATGTAGGAAAAATTCTTATTGAGAATATGGAAGCTGAATCATCCCCCTCATTCTGAAATTGAAATTTCATTGTTTATCTGTCTGAATTTTGAATGTTAATTGATATTATGAAAAAGATCCATGTTACCGTCATCAAAGCACAAGTTCAAGCACCACTAGGCACCTTCAATCTAATCACCAATCCAATCACCAATACAATCAACAATCTAAGCAACTTCAATCCGACTACCAATCCAATCATCAATACAATCACCAACCAAATCACCGATCCAATCACCAATAGACAGTTTGCACGTCATTAACCTAATTTCATTATTTCTTCAAAATTTTATTTCTTCATTTGTTTTCCATTTTTTTAATTTTTTTTAATTTTTTAATTTGATTCCAATTTTGTTTTTTATCATTTTATTTAAATAAATTTACTAATACTGAATTTCTCTTTTTTTCACTTATTAACTATTTGTGCAGTTTGTCACACGTTTCAGCATAGGACAGAAATAAATTTCAAAGACTAAAAAAATAACCTGTATTGAGACTTTCATTAGAATGCTTTGGCCACGAAGTTCTGTTTTTATGTTCCAATGCTCTCGATCATATTCACCGCAGCACATATCAATCTTTTCTTTAAAGTACTTCAACAGAAAGGATGGTATTAAGTAACGATTATGATCATCCTTGTCAGTTACTGTTGGTATTGGTATGCTTTTTCCAGATTTTACCATCATAAAACAGAGGTCGGCAATAGGAGATGGTATTTTCTAATTGTATTTAGTAATTTGAAAAACTCATGTTAAAGAATAACAACAAAATAAAAATTGACAAATCATTTATGAATTTGTTGTATTGTAGTTTGTAACCTCAATAATTTTTCTCACGTCCCAGACCAGCATGACATCCAACTTTATGTCTCTGAAAGTGAAATTCAAATCTAAATCTTGTCCGAAAAATTTCCGAGTTACGAAAATTTTATTTTTTTTTAGTTGTTTAACAATGTCTCCTATAATACTCTGAGTTTTTTGTCTGGCTTCTTTCAGTCGATCATGTGGAATGACGTACTTAGTTGCAAAATTCTCTATCTCAGTTATAAAGTGCGAACTTCCATGCCAGCTTTTGCAGACTGAAATTTTAATCATTATATTTATAGATAATCACATGTACAGTTACAAAACAGAAGATGACAAAATTTATTCTTTTAAAAAAATCCACCAAAATCCACCAAAAAATCTTTTTCAAGCGAAGTTACCTGACTAAGACTACTTACTGTTTATGGAATCTACCATATTATCATCCTCCTTAGTTGAATATCGTTGTTGAGTGAGTGTCGCATCATTCAATATGTTTGAGTAGTGATAATTTTTAAAATTGAATTCTAATTTTTGCAACAAATCTTTCAATTCGGAATAAAAATATATCATCAGCCTAGAATCATTATCAGCAAAATTTTGTAATACTTTCGAATATTTTGTTTTTATATTATAAAACGCCATTTCAAATAATATTGGGTGTTCGTTTTTCATTTCTTCGAGTTTTGAAGAAAGTGACTCGTCTATTGAATGGTCATTGTCATCTATTTCCCAATAAAATTTTACATTTCTAATTGGGATGAAGTATCCTTTACATCGGAGTGTTAAAGCGAGATAAATTTCTACTGAGAATTCCACATGTGTTTCTTTCTTTGAAAGTGAATTGTTTAATTATTTATGAAATTTTGAAAATAAATTGATGTTATAAAAAATGAACCACCATTTTGACATTCATTTGAATGGCTGGACTGTTACGTCTGATTTTCGTTTTTATGTGGCAGTGCGTTAGTTCTAATATAACAAGACAATTTTCAATCTTTTCCATAAAATTTTTTGCAAGGGCTGATGCAGATAGATAACGACCATCATAATTTTTGACTAGAGAAGTTCGATTGTCTGTAGTCAATTTTTCCTATTGATATATTACATGATTATGTTAATTGAATTGAATTATATCCATGTTAATAATTAAACTATTTTATTTCGATTCAAAGTAATGAAAACAAAAGTTGAACCTAACTTGATTATTACTGTCAACCAAAAATTTAGATAAATATCTATAATTATCGTCGGACATACAAATATATTTATCCGTCTCCGTGGGTTCATTTTCATCTTTCATCACCAAGGTAGTGGGATTAAACACTTGGATGGGCTATGCGTAACAAACAAAATTGCTTCAGTTTGAAATCATTTTTTGTTTATGTATTTATAATATAACATTTTTTATATACAATTAGATACATCAAATTTATAAAAATTATGTTTTTATATTTGTAATTATAAATAGTTATTTTATATAAAGTTGATATCCATGTTAATAATTAAACTATTTTATTTCGATTCAAAGTAATGAAAACAAAAGTTGAACCTAACTTGATTATTACTTTCAACCAAAAATTTAGATAAATAACTGTTATTATTCTCGAGAGATAAATATACACAATTATATTCATTATCCTCAAACATACAAGTCTCAATGGGTTCACTTTCACGACCATCATCATTTTCTGTAGTCAATTCTTCCTATTGATATATTACATGATTATGTTAATTGAATTGAATTATATCCATGTTAATAATTAAACTATTTTATTTCGATTCAAAGTAATGAAAAAAAAAGTTGAACCTAACTTGATTATTACTGTCAACCAAAAATTTAGATAAATATCTATAATTATCTATAACAAACAAAATTGCTTCAGTTTGAAATCATTTTTTGTTTATGTATTTATAATATAACAATTTTTATATACAATTAGATACATCAAATTTATAAAAATTATGTTTTTATATTTGTAATTATAAATAGTTATTTTATATAAAGTTGATGAATTGTTAAAAATTGTTAAAGCTTTTTAATTGGCTGCTCGTCTTCTTGCCCGTGCTCTTAAAAACAATGTGACAATAACTTATTTAAAGACATAAACAACACGATATTCAACATTGATAATGGAAATATTAATTAAAAACGAAAAAAATATAATAATATCAAATAAAATATAAAAATGCACATATAATTAACTGGGCAAACAAACCATATATAAAAATATATTTATTTTGTTACAATGATTGAATTGAATATATTTCTTCTGGCAAAAATCACAGCAAAATACCAATGTATGTGTTGATGACAACCTTAACTACTATCGTGCAATGAAATGTACGACAACAAGCAAACAAACAAAACAATTTAAAAAGAGAGAAGTTTGGGAAAATAATCTCCAAGTCACATCTCTAAATCGAATTCGGCATCAGAGCTACTAAACTATGTTAGTTGGTTACATTCAGCCAAGAAATGTGTCACGAAATGTGTCATGTGTCTGGTGACGAAGAATATTTTCTTGACGAAATGCCTAAAGCAGCCACCTTCGCCACAAAGGCTGCTTATTCTTCTCACACGACGTGCAAACGTATTTCTTTGTATGCTGAGTATATGATAGCCATTGAGATGTTTGACTCAGCGAGCATTCGAACCACTGAGCCATCTCGCCGGCCAACATGCGACAACTTACGTCGTCTACCCATTTACCAGCCTCGAAGGGATGAACGACTGGATGAACTTATAGAAACTGCGGGATTCAAACCCGGGTTGTGAGAGTGGTAGACGAACAATTTAACCGCTCGGCCACGAGACTATAAGCCAAGGCTGAATTGTTTTTTAAATTCATGAAGAAACATACACCTCTCATTCAGAGAATCTGAGGCGACATCTACTGCTCTGGCAATAAGCTTCAGTTAGATATGTATTCGCTTTTTTATAACTTTTCAGCGGTTTATGAATGTTATATGCTTGGACCAGAGGCTGGCGTCTGTCGTTGGACCTCCTCGCCACGCCCATAATTAAAAATATTTGAATTTTTTAAAACTTCACAAATTAAAAAATAGAAAATAAATTTGTAAATAAAAGTTCTTTAACTGGATAATTTTTCTAACCTCAAGCTTTAGGCTTTCGCTCATTACAAGCATGATTTCAAAAATTGTGTTGGAATGCTTTTCATCTTCTCCATGTCCCATAAATCTTGGCCATACGTAAATATTTTCTTTTTCTAATATTTTAATAATTTCATCAATCATACGATACGTTGTAATTATTTTGTCCCCGTGTTTTTGAAATAGTTTGAAGTGATCATTCATTATGTCATCGAAGGTCGGATCTGGAGGCAACGATTGCAACGAGCACAAAAATTGAACGCTCTAAATATTCTGATTCTGATTAACTGTATAATTTTAAGTTGCCTAAATGAATGATTGACAATTAATTTCTTTTGTACATGTGATAAAAATTTGTAATCTTATCAAACATTTCAAAACTATCAAATAAATTGTATAAAAAATAAATAATTTTGTTTTGAATATATTTAATTAATGCAAACAATTAATTAAAAGTAAATTAAATTATTGACTAACAATTTTCAGCCATTTCAATGTTTTTCTCAATAGAATTATTTTTTATAAGGCCCCGGTATTTTCAATTGTTAAAAGTATGTTAATCTATTTTTACAAATTTCAAAATAAATTTGCTTGTGAATCGAACAGATTAAAATGTTCAGGTAGCAATCTTTCATCCTTAATTAGAACTATTATTCCTAACATAAATTATGAAGGTTTTGTAAAGTTTAAGGTTTTAATATAGGAGAAAAAAGAATATGAACCAGAGAACCGAAAATTAGCTAAAAATCTGGTAAATTGGAAGTTGTGAATTGAGCTTCAGTACTTACTATTTTATTGTCGTCTGGTAGCTATAAATACTCTATGGTTGTCTAGGTAACGCGTGGAAAAGAAATATTTGCAAAAGCTAGTTTAATTTTGCTTATTTGTTTTTTAGTTTTTTAATTTTAGGAAATTAATTGATTTTTTGCTATAAGTCATGCCTAAACGTGCTAGAAAAGATCTATCAGATGATTTAAAGCAGTCAATAATAAGAAGTGTTGCGAATGGATTGACTTACCGTCAAATATCACACTATTTTGGTGTTTCTGTTGGATCTGTTGCATCTATTGTTAAGGCAAGATTGTCTTCATTTCTAAGTTGTGATAGTGGTTTCATAGAATTGTTTAATTAAATCTTGATATTTACTAGTCATTTTAGTTCATGTATGTATTCTCTTACAGAAACATACTGAAACAGGATCGGTTTCTTCAAGGAGGAAGAATTGTGGTCGAGTTTGTAAAGTTTCACCCCGCATGCTCCGAAGCATTGAGATTGCTGTACGTCGGTCACCGACAAAATCTAGCAAAAAGCTACAACAAGAATTGAGGCACAGTGGTTTAGATGTTGGAACAAGTACCATCAGAAGATATCTAAAAAAGATGGGACTTGTTTCAAGGGTTGCACCACCTAAGCCACTTCTTACACTTCGACATAGGAAACTGCGACTAAGCTTTGCAAGGAAGTACATAAGCAAAGACGAAGAATTTTGGCGAAAAGTCCTCTTTACTGATGAAACTCGCATCTCAATTTGTAATGATGCAAATAAAGTTCGCTTTCGCAGAAAAACTGGAGAGAAACTGAACATATTTACTCCAACTGTGAAGCATCCTGCATCAGTTATGCTGTGGGGAGCATTTGCGGCTTCCGGAGTTGGCCGAATCAGGTTTCTTGAAAAGGGAGAGGTATGCAACAGTGCATGGTATATTAAAGTTTTAAACCAGCAGGTGAAATGGTCTACAAGAACCCTCTTTCCAGGAACAGATTTCTGGCTGCAAGATGATGGTGCTCCTTGCCATAGGTCAAAACTAGTGAGAGACTTTGTCATGGCCAATGGATGGAAAACTTTAGATTGGCCTCCTCAATCTCCAGATCTTAATCCCATAGAAAACTTATGGTACCTGCTCAAAAGAAAGGTTTGGACCAAGAACTTCAGCAATGCAACTGAACTAAGGGAAAAAATTATTTCTGTATGGAATTATGGTTTGGAAAATGAACTACTTGAGAAGCTGGTACTTTCAATGCCTTCTCGTCTCCTTGCAGTCATCAAAGCTCGAGGTGGCTCAACCAAATTTTAGAAGAGAACAGAACTTATTTTTAAGCTCTTTTGAAACATAATAAACCTTCTTAACTATTTAGAAAAATTTTATACAATATTAACAAAAAAAGAGTTAGTTATAACATAAATTTGTTCAGTTTAATAAGCGTTCACAATTTTTTGAGCAATACTGTATGTGTGATAAAGGTCTGTTGACAGTTGTCAACAATTTGTAATCTTATCATACATTTCAAAACTGTCAAATAAATTGTATAAAAAATAAATAATTTTTTTGGAATGTATTTAATTAATGAAAACAAATATATTTTTAATATTTTTATTAAATTTAGTAAAATTAAATTAAACTAAATTAAAAACTAACAATTTTTAGCCATTTCAATGTTTTTCTCAATAGAATTAGTATTATCAGTAGGAATTTATAAGTCCAATTGAAGTGGTGAAAGCCAATCTTGAAAGTCAATTTCTAAGTTTTAATCTAGAGGTGATTTTTTGAACGATTAATCGCTCTTCAATTCATTCAATTCATAAACCTTTCAACAGATTACGTTGAATTATAACGTATAATCTGAATTATAATAATAATTAAGATATATACAAGTTGTTTTCTCGATTTGATAAAAACAAGATTCAAAAGAAATAATCATAAATCATACACTTAGTAAAAAAAACCGTAATAAAATTTCAAATACTATATTTGATTAATTGATTGATTGATTGATTGATTGATTGATTGTTTGATTGATTGATTGGTTGGTTAATTAATTGATTGATTGATTGATGATATAAAATTATTTATCGTGCTACAACCGGGTTCGATTCCGGTAGAAACCGGAACATTTTTTGCTTATTTTTTATATGAATTTGATTATTCATCATTATAAGACATGCTTTATAAGATTTATTGTCAAATTTTATGTCATAACCAATATAACCAAATTAAATTTACACCACTTTTGTCGCCATCATTAGCTATCGCTTAAGTAGTTTTTCATGGACTCTGAATGTTTAGAGGTTCGATTAAGTTTGTATAATTATAATAATGATGATGACGACGATGATTTAGCTATGAAGTTAGATTCTCTGAAATATCACTTATTAATGTTTCAACCTTATGAAAATATTGACCACCTGTTCATGAAGTATCAAATCTATATGGTACACGACGCATTGGTGTAATGGTTAAGTGGCTGGCACTGTTGGTCTGACGGTCTTATGCGCTTCACTCATTGTTCAAAAGATGTTTCTTGAAGCCATTTCTTAGTATGAGAAGCAGAGGGAGTTAGGGTTAGCGTTAGTCTACATTAACTATATTAACCACATTAGTCACCCAGCTAAATATTGCCAATACACTACATACAAAAAATACATACATACATGATAAAAAATAGACGTAGAGTTGTAATGGAAATTTTTCTATGGTAGTTAATTTGTAGATGAAGATAACTTTTAATCATTCAGTGCTCCTTAAGCCCCATGAAAGCAACTCTGGCAGGCTGTACTTCTTGCTTCAATGGACAACACCGCTGCCTGTTTTGAACAAGCTGGTTCAAATATTTCTTATAACTAATCATCATCCACATCACTGTCAACCTGAATATCATCTTTGCAATCATCAACATGAACTTCATCATCATCGTTTTCATCATCATGGCAACGCATTCATCAACATTTTCAATAATGCCATCTGTACAGTCGTCATCTACACAAAAACTGCGTGAAAAGCACCTGAAGTTAACGTGTGTTTGTGTGTATATATACATAAATATATAAATATATATATATATATATATATATATATATATAAGTATTATGTGTGTGTGTTTGTTTGTGTGTGTGAGTTTCTGTGTGTGTCTGCAAATTACTATTCAACAAAAACACACAAACACAGGTGAGGGGCGTTTCAGTTCAGTCCGTTGTTGTTCAGTAATTAAAATTTTTAAACCTCACGCCAATAACAGTCCTTTTTCAGCTTATACATAGTTATATTTAAAAAAATAAAATAATAATAAGAAGAAGAAGAAAAAGAATGATTGAATGAAATTATTTGTTATGGTGAACGTTGTGCAAATTATTTTAGGAGTCAGTGCGATAGTGTTGTGGTTGTTGCGATGTGGAGTTTGAGGTAGTAGTTGTTGAAGTGGCGAAAGTTGTTGTTGCAGTGGCGAAAGTTGTTGTTGCAGTGGCGAAAGTTGTTGTAGCAGTGGCGATAGTTGTTGTTGCAGTGGCGAAAGTTAACACGATTTTTCATGTACAAATCCTTGTGAAACGTTGTTATCAAAGAATCCTTAAAATAAAGTAAAGTGAATTTTTCCGTTCCTACACCCTGTTGTTCTGAGTGGTCACTACAACCGGGTTCGATTCCGGTAGAAACCGGAACATTTTTTGCTTATTTTTTATATGAATTTGATTATTCATCATTATAAGACATGCTTTATAAGATTTATTGTCAAATTTTATATCATAACCAATATAACCAAATTAAATTTACACCACTTTTGCAATGTATAACTTAACGATCAGGTTCGTGCTTGGACAACTAACAAGCGATCCTGGCTACCCAACAACTTCAAATGTGCACTACAATTAAGTTGTTGGGAAGATAGGATGGCTTGTTATGTAGATGCAACGTTCGACGCAGCTAAACAGCGAAAGCATCGTTGCGACATCTGAGCAAACACCAGCCTGACATATAGCCTTCAAACAAATAAATACACAATCAACATAATGATGCTGAACAAAGCATCTACATAATAATCCATTATCATCACTTCTTCATCCTCATCTTCATGCTCATTATCATCTTCTTCTTCTTCATCGTCGTCATCATTAGCTATCGCTTAAGTAGTGTTTTCATGGTCTCTGAATGTTACGAGGTTCGATTAAGTTTGTATAATAATAATAATGATGATGACGACGATGATTTAGCTATGAAGTTAGTTTCTCTGAAATATCACTTATTAATGTTTCAACCTTATGAAAATATTGACCACCTGTTCATGAAGTATCAAATCTATATGGTACACGACGCATTGGTGTAATGGTTAAGTGGCTGGCACTGTTGGTCTGACGGTCTTATGCGCTTCACTCATTGTTCAAAAGATGTTTCTTGAAGCCATTTCTTAGTATGAGAAGCAGAGGGAGTTAGGGTTAGGGTTAGTCTACATTAACTATATTAACTACATTAGTCACCCAGCTAAATATTGCCAATACACTACATACAAAAAATACATACATACATGATAAAAAATAGACGTAGAGTTGTAATGGAAATTTTTCTATGGTAGTTAATTTGTAGATGAAGATAACTTTTAATCATTCAGTGCTCCTTAAGCCCCATGAAAGCAACTCTGGCAGGCTGTACTTCTTGCTTCAATGGACAACACCGCTGCCTGTTTTGAACAAGCTGGTTCAAATATTTCTTATAACTAATCATCATCCACATCACTGTCAACCTGAATATCATCTTTGCAATCATCAACATGAACTTCATCATCATCGTTTTCATCATCATGGCAACGCATTCATCAACATTTTCAATAATGCCATCTGTACAGTCGTCATCTTCACAAAAACTGCGTGAAAAGCACCTGAAGTTAACGTGTGTTTGTGTGTATATATACATAAATATATAAATATATATATATATATATATAAGTATTATGTGTGTGTGTTTGTTTGTGTGTGTGAGTTTCTGTGTGTGTCTGCAAATTACTATTCAACAAAAACACACAAACACAGGTGAGGGGCGTTTCAGTTCAGTCCGTTGTTGTTCAGTAATTAAAATTTTTAAACCTCACGCCAATAACAGTCCTTTTTCAGCTTATACATAGTTATATTTAAAAAAATAAAATAATAATAAGAAGAAGAAGAAAAAGAATGATTGAATGAAATTATTTGTTATGGTGAACGTTGTGCAAATTATTTTAGGAGTCAGTGCGATAGTGTTGTGGTTGTTGCGATGTGGAGTTTGAGGTAGTAGTTGTTGAAGTGGCGAAAGTTGTTGTAGCAGTGGCGAAAGTTAACACGATTTTTCATGTACAAATCCTTGTGAAACGTTGTTATCAAAGAACCCTTAAAATAAAGTAAAGTGAATTTTTCCGTTCCTACACCCTGTTGTTCTGAGTGGTCACCTCTATCACCCCACCCCCGGTACGCCACTGTTATCATCATCATCCTCATCATCATCATCATCATCATATCATTATCATCATTGCCGTTTTAGTTTATGCTATTTTGTTTGTCAGTTGTTTTACCCACATCCGACCTTCCTTATCATTAGCAACTTGCACTGAATTCGACGGTTGTTTTAATCACCAGCCAGCTAATTAATGAACACAGGCGTGCAGGCTGAGGTAAATGTTTGGTGGGAATATGTACATCAAATTTTTAAAACTTCATTCAACGAAGTACCAACAAATGGTTTGTCTTTTACTGACGGTCATATGCGCTTCACGTATTGTTCGAAAGATGTTTCTTAAAGCCATTTCTTAGTATAAGAAGCAGAGGGAGTTACAAAGTTTTGTAAAATTAAACACGAATCATACAAGTATTAACAATATTTTGAAAGATATTTCGAAAAAATTGAAATAACTAATTTTAATTAATAGGTTGAAATTTATTGTTAAAATATGAAGTGGTCCATAATTTGTTTTATGGTGATCACATCATCATCAGTCAACTCGGTAGCATCAGTAGCTGGTAAGAAATATAGAA